TAATTCATTGATGTGAGGTGCCCTTCCCAAACCTCAGAGAATAGGGAAATAAGAATGTAAAGTTAACTAACATACTCATACAGAGAGATTATCCCTAAGAACTGTGGGATTAGATTAAGAAGATTAGAATTTTGACAGTGATGGTCCCACTGCCTGAGAAAGTAAACTGCAAAGGTGATTAAACTGCAGAGTGTACAATAAGGACAAAGCCTGCCACATAGGAGGCTCTCAGTAAATTGTCCAGAAGGAGGGTGAGCTAGTGGAAATGTCTTTCAGGACCATCTGTGTCTCTCTGTCCTAATTGCTCATTGTGCAACACTCTCATTCATTAATCAGTTTCCTAGGAGCTTTAATATTAGAAGCCTTGTTCTAGTCTTGTTATTAAGTACTTGCATTATTCTTTTCTTTTTTTTTTTTTTTCTTTTTCATATAGACCTTGGAGAATGATAAGTACTTGCATTATTCTATCTTGGGGACCATCCTTGGGTATTCTGTAAGGTCTAAGGGGACAGAGACCAGACTAAACAATTCCCCTGTACCTAGTCTCTTATTCAGAATTTAGCCTAATGATTATCTTTCTCAGGTGAATTAATCTACACTGAAACAAGGGCAAAAAGTCTGTGCTAGTTAAACTTTCTTTAAAGGCAAATTTCAGTGCATTATTTCATACCTGTGCAATGTTATCACACCTGACAGAAATTGTCCGTTCTGGATTTCAAATACGAGGGGAATAAGTCCTTCTGAATGAATGAAATGTCCAACTGTTCTTAACAGAGAAAAAGATACGTGTCTCCTGTGAGATGTTGTATGAAGAACATATGAACGTAGATTTGAAGTTTCTACCTGTTCTAACCTAGATGCATTTTCCAATCGATCTTGAAGAAATTATGATCACTTAACAAGCCCTCATTTTAAAGATCTGTAAACAGGTCTAGAGAGTTGTGGCACAGTTAAATAGTCATGTAACTGCAACTGGCACCCGTCTTTCGTTGGCTTTGTATTTGGCCATACTGACGTATATCCTTCATCATTTTGCTGCATTGCAAAAGCTTTGTCTTGTGGGGGTAGATTTAATTTTTGAAAACCACCAAAAGTATTTCAGAGGCTAAATCACAAATAAAGTAGATGATCAGATTTAATAATCTGTAATTGATCCAGAATGAGCTGGCTTTAACAAGAATGTTTTCCTCAAGAATTGTAGCTAATAACCTATGAAATGCATTTCCAAAACTAGACCCTCTCTAAAAAAAACCAATAGGAATGACAGAATTAGAATATACCATTTGCTTCATCTCACATACACGCAAGTGTCAGAATAGCAATACCAATATTATCACTACTGATTATGATCACTAAGAAAAAGTTTAAAATTTTTTAATTGACTGTGCTTTCCTTATCCTACATACTTCCTTTTTATGGTGTACTAAATCTTCATATGTTCATTGTTGGATCATGTGGTACTCTTCCCTTAAGCTTTATTCATATTTGACTTTATAAATAGCTATATGTTTAACACTCACCACCAGTTATTATACCGTCTCTCTGGTCATTTTGGTCTGAAGTTCTCTAATTCCAGGGATGGCAAAATTTTTCTGAAAGGGGCTAGATAGTAAATATTTAGGCTTTATGGGCAGAAACAGTCCTGTCACATATTTGTGTGTGTCTGTGTAACAACTCTTTAAAAATGTAAAAACCATTCTTAGCTTGAGAACTGTACAAAAATATCTGACTGCAGTTTGCCAACCCTTGCTCTAGTAGATTCCTCAAGGACTCATGGAGACAATATTCCAGTTTTGCTGGATATAAAATCCTTTTTAGCCAGGTGTGGTGGTGCACACCTGTAGTCCCAGCTACTCCTGAGGCTGAGATGGGAGGATCACTTGAGCCCAGGAGTTTGAGGTTGCAGTGAGCTAATATCGTGCCACTGTACTCCATCCAGTCTGGGTGACAGAGTGAGACCTTGTCTCTAAACAAATAAAATAATAAAATGCTTGGCTCACATTTTCTTTCCTTATGTATTTTTAAAATGTTACTTCATTTTCTTCTGGCATAACACATTGCAGTTGAAGTCTGATGAGAGTCATATTTTATTTTCCTTGTAAGTTACTTGCTGTTTTTGCCTAGAGGCTCATGGGATTTTTTTCTTTTTCTTTATAGTCTACTTGGTGTTGGTCATTCTGGGTTGATATTATCAGGTATGCCAAGCATTTTTTCAATATCTAGTTTTCAATTATTGTTTTTAAAAGTTTTCTTGATTTATGTTGTTTCCTTGCATTGGTCTTCATCTGTAAGAACTCCTGTTGTCGAGTTTCCATCTGAAATGTCAGTTCTCTCAGTTCTTGTTGTGCTCATGGCCAAAAAATGACCAGACGCTCCAAAGTAAGGCAAGCACAAAAATGAGGTTTGCTGAAGAAAGATAGAATTATAGAGCAAGAACAAGACAGGTTTACAGAGCGAGATACGTACGCCACAGATGATGACCAGACCCACTGTTGGAGCAAAAAGGGAGAGCGCAAAAAAAAGGGGGCTTGGTTATGGTCTCAGTCTTATTTCACAGTGCCCAGATTGGGACCTCCCTCATGGCTTAGACATCACCATGGAACTAATTACTTTGCTTGGACAGTTGGGAGTTGTATGACCCGAGTCTTACTATGCATACAGATCTCCCATGAGCCTCTCTGAAAGCTGGTTGTTCCAGGCCACTTTCCAGACTCTATGGTTCCTGAACTGCCCGGCCTGAGGGCTAGAGAGTCCTCTGGATTATTTTGCAGTTGGCAAGCTAAGTTCTGATTGGCAGATTCATGGGGTATTCTCTCCTCCCCCAGGTATGGCAGTCACTGGGGACAGGATTAAGGTAGGGTGGTGCTAGGAGAGGTCCACTTTTGTCCCTAGGAGACCTGAAATCCCTCACTATCTACCTAACACTGATACCCATATTTTGGATCTTCACCTATTTTCAGTATTTGCCACCTTTTCTCAAATCCTTTTTCACTTCATTTCTTTTTATTTTTTATTACTAATTCTTTGGTGCCTCATTTATGAATTTCCTAATTCTGATTTAGGTTATTCTTTCTCAAAGTCATTTTCTTAATGACTTTGAGCTCACCTTGCAATAGGGTACAGTCTGATTTGTGTTCTGGGCATGTCTTCTGGCATGCTTTCACTGTCTCATGTGATGTTCTCTTCCTTATTCTCTTTATGTGAAATTGAGTTTTCTAAAATTTTTAGAAGGAAATGTGGTTCAGGATTGTTTTTCTGACTTCACATACTCCTCAAACATTGGACTCCTATTGGTTACTATAACCTTCTTTTTCCACACTCATTTTTTGCATGGTACTTGGTTTTTACCATAATACTCACCCCAAAACTCAGGTTGGCAAAGATACAATGTCATCAGAAGGAATACAGAGCAGTTTGCCTGGAGTTTGACGGTGTCAAATATCACTGTTTATTTCAAATTTAAAACATACCATAGTGCCCCTGTGAGCGTGCCGTGGTGCCTTGGGACACGCTGGCGCACTGTTGGAGATCATGATTCTAGGTGATACTGACACTGCTGATCAGGAGAACCACACTTGGGAACGACTAGGACATTTAACTGTTTTTTAAAAAAACTGTAAGTACCAGAAGAGAGACTTTCAAAGTTGCGCTGCCAGCCAAGAAGACAGTTTCTTCCTTTGGGCCCTTGTACTCACATAAATAAATGGATCAGTTTAAAATATTGAAATCAAGCACCTGGAAGCAGTTGTGTATGTGTGTTTATGGGTGAACACACTTGCTTGCAGATGCACACACACCTGAGTGTTGGGAAAACCAATGTGTTTCTTTGCCTTAGTCTAGTTTTCTTACTGGGCACAAAAAACTACCTTGAGTTGAGGAAAAGGAACACAAGAGCATGCTCTCATGCTCATAGACCTAGGTGTTCAAAGACATTTAGTTGTGAATATTTGAATTTGCTTTGTGACCTGCCACAGTGAATTTGATTGACTGCTGATTTGAGATGTGGTCAGTGAGCCTGCAAATTTTATAAAGAAAACTTTGTGTTGTTCAAGAGAGGGCAAAGATATAGATAGGGTAAGGAAATCCAGATTGCTTGGTACCAGGATTCATCATGCACAGAATCTTGGATGTTATTGCAAGTAAAACGTGCCCCTAATTTATGTTATAATGAAGAGAAAACATGGCTGACCTCTGAAAGAGCAATCAGCTGCTTTCCAGTGAACTGACAGATACAACTTCTCTCATGCTAATTAGTTGAAGATTGCCCTCTGTTCTCCTTAATGAATTAAAATCTATTAAGATAAAAAGCAAAGCACTAAAAAAATGCTCATGGAGACAGTGTAATTGGTGCTTCCTGCATTTTTCTTCACTCTTTTTCCAGGATCCCAGAAAACATGGACAACTCATGAGAAAGTGGTATTCTGGATTTTTAAAAATCCAGCAATTGATACTGGATACTATTCAGTGATGTTCAAAATTCTACAAAAGCCCAAGCCCTGATTTACATTTAACATCTAAGAGAAATTTAATCCAGCCATTACTTTCCATAACAGAGGGATGTGTGCAGATGAGATTACTAGGGCGCAGCTTGCTATAACCTACTCTATTCCCCAGGATTAATGTGGGCTTTCTAACATTTCTAATATTTACAAACTAGTCTTTGAGTTCTTTTTAGAAAAATGAATGTGGCTTTTTTAAGCTATGCTTTTGTAAGACTGGGTTTATAAATTAGAAAGACAAATCCTAGGTTAAAAAAGGCATTTCTTCCTTATAAGTAGTTGTCTTTGTTAATTTGACATTAGTTTTAACAGTAGTAGTTAAATTACCCGTCCTATTAGAAAGCTGGAATCTGGAAACTCCTTTAATCTACCTCTATAGAAATGGTTTTATACAAGAATTGGGCAACATTGCCCTAAAGTGAACTCGTGGTTTCTATGGACAGCAAATGCTTTATCTTGCAATTGAGCTGGGTATATTAATTGTGCTTTCTTTTTCTGTAGCGTGTTCCATGGGAAACGGTACAAGCAGACTCTACAGTGCTCTCGCCAAGACACTGAACAGCAGCAGTGCCTCCCAGCACCCAGAGTATTTGGTGTCACCTGATCCAGAACACCTGGAGCCCATTGATCCTAAAGAACTTCTTGAGGAATGCAGGGCTGTCCTGCATACTCGACCTCCCCGGTTCCAGAGGGATTTTGTGGATCTGAGGACAGATTATCCCAGTAGACACCCACCTATTAGGGTCATGCAGTGGAATATCCTCGCCCAAGGTATGTCTGATGCTTTTGTGCCTGAGCAGTTACATTTGCGGTAACTTCCTTTCTGCTTCTGCACATGCCCAATGTACTGACTTGGGTCTTATGTGGAGGGAAGAGGTGTGAGTAGAGGGGGCTGTAGAAGAATGGGGTGACTAGAGCAGCATGAGTAATTCCCAGACGGGGAGGTTGGGAAAGAGAGTCATTTAGTTTTCACTAATAAAGCCAGCAACTAAAGAGTAGTTCTTTACCTTCCGTTTGTGGGCTGAGAACAATGTCTACTTCCCAGCAGATCCAAATTTAAAGGACCATGTCTTTTTATTAGGCAAATCAGTGGAACAGCTTTAACCTTTCTGTTGCCTCCAGCTTTCAGTCCATAGCACTAAGATAGCATTTGCAGTGAAGAAACTAGTAACCTGGAATCAGTAACCTAGAACTTTCTCCAGGGAATAGCAGCTTTTTTGGAAGATAGTGAATCTAGGTATACTTGTAACCAGAGTCTCATTCAAACTCATCTGTATAACTTGAGGCCAAAAAGGTTATTGCTTCAGTTCTCTGTTCATTAAGATATTACTTTGTTACGGTAGAAAGGACCTATTTCCTAGGTCTGCCAAATTAAAAAACAGATGCATCAGTCAACTTTCTGTAGCAATTGCCTTTTATGTAGTGGTTGAAGTTTTAAGGAAAAAAGCTCTGATTTATTTGATTTTGCTGGAAAAGAAGGGAGTACTCCCTGGCTTTTCAATCTTTGATTCTTTTATTTTTCCAGGTGTTCACCGATAAGTAGGAAAGGCTGTACATTTAAAACAGGTCCCATTCATTCTGAGTAGTGTCTTTATCAGTTCACATGGTTTTATTATAGTTCATGTTATAGTATTTAGAGTTAAATATATTTATTTCATTTGACATAGATCCCTGGGACTGCAATGAACACTGTTTCCTAATTAAAGCTAAAACCAAAGATCTTACTTATATCCTGGAATATAGTTACATGAAATTGTTTTTTTTTTTTTTTTTTTTTTTAGACAGAGTCTCGCTTTGTTGTCCAGGCTAGAGTGAGTGCCGTGGCGTCAGCCTAGCTCACAGCAACCTCCAACTCCTGGGCTCGAGTGATCCTTCTGCCTCAGCCTCCCGGGTAGCTGGGACTACAGGCATGTGCCACCATGCCCGGCTAATTTTTTATATATATATCAATTGGCCAATTAATTTCTTTCTATTTATAGTAGAGACGGGGTCTCGCTGTTGCTCAGGCTGGTTTTGAACTCCTGACCTTGAGCAATCCGCCCGCCTCAGCCTCCCAAGAGCTAGGATTACAGGCGTGAGCCACCGCGCCCGGCCTTGAAATAGTTTTAATACAAAAGATGATCAATTGCATGCTTCATCCAGATGGTGATCGGTTTTTTAGTTTGGATGAGTTAATGCAGTTTAGGCAGAGAATTACTCAAAGCCTCTAAAGCAGAGGAAGCATTCTGAGGGTCTCGAGTGGTATCAAGCCCAAAGAGACTCCCAGGTATGTTGAAGTCATGGTTCTGTAGTAGCTGACAGCTGACCAGCTTTTTCTTTTCAGCTCTTGGAGAAGGCAAAGACAACTTTGTACAATGCCCTGTTGAAGCACTCAAATGGGAAGAAAGGAAATGTCTCATCCTAGAAGAAATCCTAGCCTACGAGCCAGATATATTGTGCCTCCAAGAGGTGGACCACTATTTTGACACCTTCCAACCACTCCTTAGTAGACTGGGCTATCAAGGCACGTTTTTCCCCAAGCCCTGGTCACCTTGTTTAGATGTAGAACACAACAATGGTCCAGATGGTTGTGCCTTATTTTTTCTCCAAAACCGATTCAAGCTGGTCAGCAGTGCCAATATTAGGCTGACAGCCATGACATTGAAAACCAATCAAGTGGCCATTGCACAGACCCTAGAGTGCAAGGAGTCAGGTCGACAGTTCTGTATTGCTGTCACCCACTTAAAAGCACGCACTGGCTGGGAGCGGTTTCGATCAGCTCAAGGCTGTGACCTTCTCCAAAACCTGCAAAGCATCACCCAAGGCACCAAGATTCCACTTATTGTTTGTGGGGACTTCAATGCAGAGCCAACAGAGGAAGTCTACAAACACTTTGCTTCCTCCAGCCTCAACCTGAACAGCGCCTACAAGCTGCTGAGTGCTGATGGGCAGTCAGAACCCCCATATACCACCTGGAAGATCCGGACCTCAGGGGAGTGCCGGCATACCCTGGATTATATCTGGTATTCTAAACATGCACTAAGTGTAAGGTCAGCTCTTGATTTGCTAACCGAAGAACAGATTGGACCCAACCGGCTACCATCCTTCAATTATCCTTCAGACCACCTGTCTCTAGTATGTGACTTCAGCTTTAATGAGGAACCTGATGGACTTTTATAAATGCTTGTCTTAGTCTTTTTAATCACTAGAGTCTTAACCAGGGATGTTTCAGGAAACTGAAATAGGATAAGAAGTTGCCTGAGGAGGACAGAGACATGGAAAGTTTCTATCATTTCACTTCCCATGTCTCCAGCATGCCCTTGGGAAAGAATCCCATTAGTTCGAAAATCTTTTCAATTAAAACCTATAGCAAAAAAGGTGTTTGCACTCCAGTTTTGGCTTGTATTTTCTTTTCCCTTAGCATTACATTTTGATCATTTAAGGGCATTAGATTGGCTTATTTTGAAGCTTTTTCAGTTTGAGGATGCTATAAAAACTCAAACTTGCTTGAGTCCTTCTTAATGAACAATAAAGTATATAGGAGTAATTTCTCTAGACTGCATTTTAAGTTATTTATTTAACGGTTTTTTTAATGTCAAGATATGCATGGCAGTATTTATTTTTTATATTGTCATAAAATTAAGTAAATAAATTACAGCATTGTGAACACTTTAGAACCATGCAAAACATAAGTTATAGAGAAAGTAATTTATAGTAATTTTCTTAAAGCTTTAAAATGTTTTCCTTTGGGGTCTAACGAAATGTGTACAAAGGAACTATTTATATTTAGCCTGGAGTTTTTGTTACTTAAGTATCATCAGGTCTTGATACATTCTTCATAAATAATCCTTGCTATGTCTCCATGTTCTCCATGTGTTTGTTGACAAGATTCCAATTTTCAATTAATGTTTTCATTATTTAATCACTGTTATGTAAACTTTTTCATTGGAATAATATTGGTATATGTTTAGGTCACTGAATGTCATCATTATTTGTATTGGAATGTGCTTTTCATAATAGGTTATTTAGGAGCTGTTATGTGGCAGTGGCTAAGAAAGTCAGTGGGACCTTCTTTCCAAACTTGGAAATCTTCCTAGAAAGCCTGTTAAGCTGTCATTGAAATTTCTAAAACAGCCAGATACTGTCATTCAAAACATCTAGAAAGAATGTAAAAAGTTAAAAAGGTAACCTGGAATTCTCCTCTACCAGAAAAACAAGTGGTAAAGGTAACAGGTGAAGGAAGCCTCTTCCAGACAATATAACCTATCGGTAATAAATTGATAAACATTTTAATTCATGAGTTGTTAATACTTAATATTATTAATAAATGGTCTTTTAAAGCTAGTGCTTTTAGTATCTTGTCTTTTTAGTCCAAAAAGAATCTGGCAGTAGATTTGATCTCTTAATACTGTTACATGGTAACCCACACTATCCATTTACACACAGAACCTTCATTTTTAAAAGTGGACAAAGGTGGCCCTCTAGCTGCAAGCTGACAGCATGCACCTATTGCTGTACTTATGTGGTATCTCAGCACCAAGGCGGGAGTTCCCCCAAATGGATCACCCAATATTCTGCATTATTAGAGCCACTTTTGAAACAAATGAGGTTTTTTTAATAGTATATATAAATCATGTTGGGTTGAATTTCATATTTTCACTTTACCATAAGTCTTTCTTTGTAGACAGCTTTGCCTTAGGGACTATCAGAATAACCTGAAGGCAAAATGGCAAATAACAAATCTGTTCTACAGAACTAAGTACAGATTCTAAATTTTTAAGTATGTTCGATGCATAAATTTCTTATTTCATCCCCCTATACCTTTTGGTTCTACTTTTCCTTTGATATACTTGATTGTTGCTGAAATAACAGTCTTAAAAGAAGGTAAACTGCAGAGTTGAAGAGGGTGTGAGGGGGGCATGGATATTTGCTTCCTTCATGCCACATTGCGGTAGATTCCATTCTTACAGGGTGGCAGTAAAAAATGTCTCATTTATTTAAATAAAGCATTATGGCATATACATAAGAGGAAACTAACACTTGAGTTCCTACCTATGGCTCTAAGAGCTTTATGTATGATCTTAAAACTACTCTGAAATTATAGATAGGGGCTCAAAAGGTCAAATAATTTGGGCAAAGTGACAGCTAACAGCTAAGCTAGGATTCAAACTCAGGTCTGTCTTGACTCCAAAGTGGTTGCTTCTTCCCCACCTCCATGTTCCCTTGGCCTTGAGTGAGTACATATGGGGAGAAAAGTGATATTGTGGGAGAGCAAGAGATTTGTTCAAGGAAAAATAGTCAAATGGTCAAACACATAAGTTATATACTTTTGTAGTAGACATACAATATTAGAAGATGCAGTGGATGATATAGTGGATTTCATTTATTCTGATAAAGGTTAGTTTTTTGCCAAAAGTAGAATATTTGATACTGTTTTCATACTTTGATGATTTTGTTTTTTTTTAAGGAAGCAATAAGAACAGCTACTCTAGTAGTGTTTCAAACTAAAGAAATTAATGGCAAATATTCTGTATTCGAACCATTTTTTTAAAACATCCAAGATTTAAAATGAAGGGGGACTATTGCATATAATAATAAATATGCATTACATATAATGTGCCTTAGACTTGAGAAAATTACAAAGAGATAAAATTAAAACATGCTCATAATCACAATCGATTTGAGTTTTATTAAAGGCATCCAAAAAATGAATGGGCTTGCATACGGAGCTCTGATGAACTCTTTTTAATGACATGTACAAAAACATGGTATAGTCAGGCTTTTTATCTAGAGTAGGTAGATAGTAGCAAGAGATTTTTGTTAAGTAAAAAATGGTTAAACACCAAAATGGCAAAGGCCTGGAGCTTGAGCTTATAAAATAAGGGGAGGTGAAAAAGCAACAACTCAAAGGGCACAAGCTATAGGTGAAAATACTTAGCTGTGACCACTGTGACCCTGAACAAGTCACTTCATCTCTAGGGCCACAGTTTTCTCATCCACAGAATATATAATTATACCTGTCCTCTTGACCTCGAATTTGTGATATGTCTGTAAAACACATATATATTTAAGTAGCTGAATAATAATGCTTAAAGTCCCAAAACATGAACGGAAGGGTCCTACACTTCATTTCATAACAACCCACTCCAAATTGTTTTTAGCCAAAGAGAATAATGCTTCAATTTGAAAAGACAGAACCAATAGCATTAGTAGAAATTAAAGCCTAGAATAGGTGGAGGGGCTGACAGAATGACAAGAGATTGGTTGTTCTCTCCCTTCCACCCAGTGTTCCTCCTTTAGGGCAGGTATGAGGTTGTGGGTTGGTGATTAGGTTCTTTAATTTCATGAGAGGTTGTCAATACTATTTTGATTTGCAAAATAGAAATATCTGCCTTTGAGTGACAAAACAGTTTAATACCCACAACTCCAGGCTGTTCCCCCTATATCTTTGGAAAACTTACTTCCTGAAAAAATATTCATGTACAATTAGACATGCAAAGCAAAGAAAGCCATTCCTCTTAACAAGAATGCTAGGAAAAGCTCTGCTGCTTGTAAGCATCTGGTAAAACTTGGACCATATGAATTTCAACAGATTATCTTTTTTGTTTTGACTGCCAAGACATTCAAAACCAAAGTTTATAGCTGAATTTTAATTACTGTGTAACATTTTATGGCATGTATTCTGTATATTAACTTTCTTCTTTTGCCATCCTTTTTTCTTTGCCTAATCTTCTACCTATTTATTTTTGTTGACTTTCATTTATTCATACAATATGTAAACCATCTAAAATTTAAGCAGAATGCTGATTAAATTATCTTGCCGCATTAAATAGATTCAGGCTTTAAGATCTAGACAACTTGCATACAAGAAGGTGGAAATACGATTACAGAGTCCTGTATGTTTAATACTGAGAAATACCAATCAAGAAGAGTGCTGTAAGAAGACTGGACAGGGAATATGTCTGACATTTGATTCTGGTTGCTACAGAATGGTAAACCTAAATAAAGAGAACACCCAGCAAAATTCTGGAATATTTTAAAATTAAGTTTGTGGGAAAGTAAGGATCATTACATGATAGAATAGACTTAACTTGGAAACTAACCTTATTTCCCTCCCTGGCCCCACCCCTTCTTGGATAGGAGAGAGTGAAGATTCAGGCAAAAACTAAACTGGGAGTCAGAGGATGAGTTGTTTGTAGGGCTGAACTGACTGATAAGTCAAAAAAATTTCCTGAACCTTAGGTTCTTCATTTGTACTAAAGGGAATAATCTCTAAGGCTTTCTAAAACTCTGATTTGAACTTTAAAACTATTTGAGTTACTGCTGCCAATTGCCTCAAAATATTTTTGATACTTTTGGAACTGCCTCTGTATGTTTATAAAACTTTTAAGAAAACCAGTGTGAATTTTCTAGCCATATCTCATTTTGAACCAAATGTGGCATTACCTGGCTTGATTCACATCTTATTAACCTCAGATGACTTGGGTATTTCTAAAACCAAGATCTTCAACAGATAATCTGCTCTATTAAATATTTTTAGTATTTAGATTCTGCTCTAGGAAGCAATTCAAAAGTATTTTGAACAACGGTAGCATTATTAGCATTAGTATATAGCTTTCCAAAGTAATTTCTTTGAAGGGACAGGCAATATTAGCATGGAGTACTGTTTCATAAGACTCTAAAGATTCATCCTAATTAAAGAGATTTTAAATATAAGAAAAAAGATTTTGAATCTATAAAATATACTGTATATAAGCTTTTTAGAGGCCATTTGCAATACTTAATAGACAAACTTCCAATTACCTTTGTCCACTAAACATTTTAGAAATGCTTCAGTTGGCACAAATCCCTAAATGCTAAGGCTCTCCTTAACTATAAGGCAGTAATTCTCAAACTTTGTTGCACAATAAAATCACCTTTTAAAATTTCAACCTGAGAAAGCTAATTGAAAAAAAGAAAAGAGGCCGGGCGCTGTGGCTCACGCCTGTAATCCTAGCTCTTGGGAGGCCGAGGCGGGCGGATTGCTCAAGGTCAGGAGTTCAAAACCAGCCTGAGCAAGAGCGAGACCCCGTCTCTACTATAAATAGAAAGAAATTAATTGGCCAACTGATATATATATAAAAAATTAGCCGGGCATGGTGGCACATGCCTGTAGTCCCAGCTACTCGGGAGGCTGAGGCAGAAGGATCACTCAAGCCCAGGAGTTTGAGGTTGCTGTGAGCTAGGCTGACGCCACGGCACTCACTCTAGCCTGGACAACAAAGTGAGACTCTGTCTCAAAAAAAAAAAAAAAGAAAAGAAAAATGATTCCTGACTCTCTATCCCCAAAATTGAATTAAATTGGTGTGGTCTATGACCTGGGCAACAGGATTATTCAAAGCTTCCCAGAGATTTCTAATGTGCAGCAAAGTTACCAGTGAATTCAGTGAATTAGTTAATATCCTACAACTCAGAAATAATTTGCAGATTATGTAAAACAGATTAGTATTTTACCTTTTTGGACAGTGCTGGTATCACTTCATTAAAGAAACCTTCTGAAATACAAAAAATACTCTCCAAGTTAAAACAAACAGCACAATGGGAACAAATGGTATCTTGGGAGAAGACAACTCTGCTGTTAGTTTATAGCCTGTTTATACTTTTGTTTTTAATATGGACCATCTTGCATTAAATAATTATGTTTCACTTGTATTATGCTTTCACTTTGGAAGCTGTGATATATTATTGTTATGTCTTGAACCCACAGGATTACTACTAAGTTCCAGCATTCAGAAAGATAGTTATAGGTGAAGTAAGTCTCCCTTGAGTGTTTCAAAGGTTTGGAGCCTTTATGTAGATCAGAAGCAAATCAATACCCTTGCAAAAGGTGAACAGTATCTTATTCTACCATTAGGGTTTATAACACTGTGTACTGAACTCCTATAACATATAATAGGTTTTAATTAGGAGGGACACTGGTTATAACAAAGGGACTGAAGACTCGGTGAATCACAACCACAGAGGACTTGCAGTACTATGAATGGTTAGAAACTAATAAAGGAAAAGTTGCTCTGATAGCTGTGAAAGTGAAGTAGGGTTACTCTTGCTTTCCCAAAATAATGTGCTCTGTATTACCTTCATAAAAGTAGGACAGGAGACTTACAGCAAAGGGATCACAAGATACCCTATCAATAACCCCAAGCCAAAACTTTGTCTCTGGAAATAAGTTTATACAATTTTTAGTAACTAAACATGACTTGTTTATATAAAAGTGATCACAAATGTATACTCCTAGGTGGAGTATGCAGTGTCAGAGGCAGGCCTTCCAAGTAATGTACCAAGTGCCCATCCCTTACATTCTGGCTTTACCACCACCCCTTACCAGAACTACCCTCTCATTGTCAGTGTCAGTCTCAGTGGCTTTTTCTTTGGCCTTCTTTGCTCTTCCTGTTGCACTTAATACCGCTGTCCACCATATCTCAAAATGTTACCTCATCTGTCCTGTTTGTTCTCTTAACAGTCCTTGACTGCATTGCTGATTCTTTTTCCTCTTCCCCAGTCTGTCTTTATATACTTGACTCTTTACAATCTCTATTCAGAGCTCACTCAGAGTGGATCATGCCCTACCTGGAGTGGTTTCCAAGTCTATTTCATTCAGAAATTTTGATTTCAATGTCTGTCACTTCCAACTCAGTAAATAAAACTGAACTCAAATCTAGGTGAAGTAGGAAAGACAGTTGTCCAGACGGAAGCCGTCAATGGAATGGCTCATTGAGGTATGGGTGCCTAGAATATTTGAGAAAATATGTCAGTATGTCCGCAGCCTAGAGATGTCTAAAAGCAGCAACAGAATGAGGCTTAGGAGATAGGCAGATGCCACATCAAAGGACTTTAAATGTTATGCTTTAGGACTTTTAACTTTTCAGCAAGAGATGCAATCACAATGGTATGAATGATGAAATTCACATTTAGAAGCTCTCAGCTGGTAGCATAGAGAATGGATTAGAGGGAGGCTTGGTGAGACAAATAAGGATAATAGAGTGTGAGAATGGAAGATACTTAGATACTACATCAGCAGGACTTTAGTGAATGAATGCAGGAGGTAAGATGTCTAGAATGGCACCCAGGTTGCTTCTGGGATGAATAGTGGTTGCTGGTAATGTCATTTATTGAGCAAAGAAGAACAGGTTTTATTTTATTTTATTTTGAGGCAGAGTCTCACTCTGTTGCCCGGGCTAGAGTGCCCATGGCGTCGTCAGCCTAGCTCACACCAACCTCAAACTCCTGGGCTCAAGCAATCCTTCTGCCTCAGCCTCCCGAGTAGCCGGGACTACAGGTATGTGTCACCATGCCTGGCTAATTTTTTCTATGTATTTTTAGTTGGTCAATTAATTTCTTTCTATTTTTTAGTAGAGACAGGGGTCTTGCTCTTGCTCAGGCTGGTCTCGAACTCCTGAGCTCAAACAATCCACCCGGCTCAACCTCCCAGAGTGCTAGGATTAAAGGCATGAGCCATCGCGCCCGGCCAAGAACAGATTTTAAAGAGAAGAGAATCAACTGGACATTCACGAGTAAATAACCAGTTGGCAATTAGATAACTCTAGATCTACAACTCCTCTATAATGAAGAGAGACCTGTAGACAGAAAGTGTCTGTTGACTTTCCTGGAAAGTCAACAGGAAGCAGACTAAGAAAGAAGAGTTGGTTAGGCAGGAAGTGAACATGGAAAACCAACTGAGTTTTAAGAAGTAGGCTGAGACATGAGATCACATGAAAAACTGAAGTGCCTATTTGATTTGACAATTGGGTTATTAGAGATTTCACTGAGACTTGTTTTTTAATTTTTAAAATTTGAGACAGGATCTCGCTATGTTGCCCAGGCTGATCTTTGACTCCTGGGCTCAAGCAATCCTCCCACCCCAGCCTCCTGAGTAGCTGGGATTACAGATGCACACCACTGTGGCTGGCTGAGAACTGTTCCTAAGCCAGAATTCAGACTGCAGGCAATTAGTTGAAGAGAAAAGACACAATGATAGGCTGGCTATTAATTGTTGGAAGAAGGAGTCTAATGAGGTGTTAAAGGGAGATGCTCAGTACGTGAGGAAGGGCACCCCAGACAGTAAGAATGTATGCTGGAGAATACATAAATCCTCTGTAGCAAGGGGTCTAGAAATGGAGGGATACTGGTCATTTGGTGAGAAGGGTGGTGAAGGCCAGAATTGTTGCTAGGAAATTACCTAAAAAATAAATAGACTGGTGATCATAATTCAAAGACCTAGTGAAGCTGGAAGATGCAGTAGCATCAAGTCATGGTTCTGTGGCTTTTGTCTGACACGCTGGACATAAAAAAGCAAATATAATTATGTTATACTGATTTAACTGAAATTAAATTTATATACTGAGATTAAAAGCTTTAGTATTAAGGGGACAGGCAGGTGGTGGGGAGCCATGCCACTGATATTTCAATATGCAAAAACATTCTGGTCAGTATATACTGTCAACATGTTAGATGTACTTATTCTAAAGTAGACACAGCAATTTCCAGTAGAGTGATGGAGGTATACCAAGTAGGCCTGGCTAAACCTAGTTAGAACCAATTAATACAGCACAGAAGGAAAGTATTCACTTAAAATTTAAGTGTCTTCAACTGTCCTCCATAGCATGTGACTTACATTCTTAGCAAATGTTACCAAAATCAGTTAACTGTCTGATTTGAGTATTGCTCAGTGCATGGAGAGAGGACCAGGTATGGCATAAAACATAATCTTTGCCCTAAAAAGGTATTATGAAACTAAACAATGAAAGCAGCAAAAAAGAAGATATAAATGCCAAAGCATATAGTATTGATTTTGAAACCTGAAATATTTAGGAAGTGTTTTAAAAAGAAGAATTTGAGATTAACTCCTTTGGCCAGCACAGTGGCTCCTGCCTGTAATCAAGAGACTCAGGAGCCTGAGGTGAGAGGAGTGTTTAAGGCCAAGAGTTCAAAATCAGCCTGTGCAATACAGAAAGACTCTGTCTCTAAAAAAAATTAAATTAAAAAAAAAGTAACTCCCAAATGGGATAAGAATCAAGTGGTTTTGAGCTTTTATTAAAAAGTACCATAGGGCCGGGCGCGGTGGCTCATGCCTGTAATCCTAGCTCTCTGGGAGGCGGAGGCGGACGGATTGCTCAAGGTCCGGAGTTCAAAACCAGCCTGAGCAAGAGAGAGACCCTGTCTCTACTATAAATAGAAAGAAATTAATTGGCCAACTGATATATATATAAAAAATTAGCCGGGCATGGTGGCACATGCCTGTAGTCCCAGCTACTCGGGAGGCTGAGGCAGAAGGATCGTTCGAGCCCAGGAGTTTGAGAGGTTGCTGTGAGCTAGGCTGACACCACAGCACTCACTCTAACCAGGGCAACAAAGCGAGACTCTGTCTCAAAAAAAAAAAAAAAAAAAAAAAAAGTACCATAGGTATGTTTATGAAAAAGATAAAGAATAGAAAGTGAGCAGTTATAAAAATCTTTGTTGACCAAAGTCGTATCTGATCAAATGCATAATTAAAGGCCAAAAAATAAAGTAGCAGTTCATTTAAATCTCTAAAAATGTAAAAATAGACACCTTGCCTTTGTGGTAGAAAGAGCATTATGATATGGAGTGATAAGACCTAGTTTTGTGTGAAAATTAGGTAACTCGTGTAATCCTTCTCACATCTTAATTTTCTAATCTGTACAAGGGCCACAGGATTATTTGTTCTTACTCTCAAAAGGTCTGACTGAGAAACATGGTCTGATTTGAAAATGTCTTTAAAAATATAAATTCTTTCAGTGCAGCCAACTAAAATACAAAATTCATTATGATAAATAGAACATTACAGCTCATGATAGTAATAAAAAGGAGGCAGCAACATGCAGATATTTGCCAAATATAATCGAACAAAACAGAAGTAGAATTTTTTCACACAGTAGTTGGAAAGGAGATATAGAGGACTTCTTAACTGAAACACCTCTATATACTATTTTGAATATTGTTAAAAATATCACCAGAGACCAAAACAGAAGATAAATTTCATTTCTATATTTCAGAAAACCTACTTGAATACACTTTGAAACAAGAGTACAACAAAATAGAATATACTTCAAATGTTGAATATACAAACTATTATAGTTCAAATTTGAACACTGGTACTTTCCCTCTTAAACTTCAACTAAAAAAAAAGAAAGAAAAGAAAAGAAGAAAGAAAACTCCAGGTATTAGAGTTACCTGACAAAAATTCATGCTGAGCCTGAAATTCCAAGTGACAGTAGAACTGAAACTGTTATGTCCGCACAGATGCCAGGGCTAAGTGAGTGACACAGGCATGTTACAGCAAAAGGCCAGAGCCAACGGTTAATTTGTCCACAATTAAGAAACTGACAGACTTAAACTACCATATAAAATGTTACATGTAAATTCTATAACAATACTGTGCTAGGTACAAGATTTTTAAAATTTTTCTTTTAATAAAAAAGCTTTACACAAACAAGCCATTAGCTTATTTCAAGAAAGAAAACCGAAAATTAGTCTAAGGCCTTTGTTTTAAATCAGCTTAAGCTATATGATATATATATATATGTATATATATATATATATAAAAAAATCGCACTAGATCTTTTTTGCTATCCTCTTTCTGAAGCTTTTGGATCCATTCTTCAATTCACATTCTAAAATACCTATATTAGCAGAGTCTTCACGTAGCACCAGTTAAGTGAGTACTGTGCAAGCACAGTAATAATTGCTGGTATGCATATAAAATGCATCAAAAATTGCTATATGTAACAACGAGATCACCCATCCCAACCCCTCCCCACTGAAAACTAAATAACCTCTTACAGAATGTTAGTGTTCCAAGTCTTAGTGTGAAATGTTATCGTAGTGAGCTGCTTGGTCCCTTTCAATCCTTTTTCTTACTGATGGGTTCAGTTGTTTCCTACTGTAAGAGGCAGTTTTCTGTCAGCATCTCAGTATATAGTTCATTTCCCACTGAAACATGGGATAGGTAATTTATTCCAGTAAGTTTGATTGTTTTCTTATATGCATTAAAAATGTTTTATTTAAAGTCTTCTTTGACTTGACTTGATGACTTCCCTTGCAAATGTTTATGTCAGTACTACCACTAACAATCTGAAGTCCATGGTGGAGCTACTATTTTATTTCTCACATGTCACTAGTCCTTCTGTTTTCATAGTTACAGGAAGGGCAATAGCTGAAGGCGCACTGACAACCACTACGTGGGTCACTGTCTTATTTCCATCTGCTGGTTTTTCTTCTACCAGTTGCAAAGTTTTCACATCATGTTCTTGCTTTTTTGCTACTGCTTCTGATTTAACCTCTGGCCCTTTTATGACTGCACTGATAACTCGAGGAGGAGTCTGGCCAGATGCCTGCTGAGTAGGCACTGATAGTCTCATTACAGGTGTACCATGGGCTATTGAAACAGGGGTAAGTGCTCTCACAGCCAATGGAGTTCCAACAATGTTAATGCTTCCTGATCCAGTCAGATTTGACTTTGTCTGCAGTTGACACTGTGCAAGTTGTGTAGCTGGGATGGTAATAATTTTGGCAGGCTGCATGGTGATTTTGTCTCCATTTTCAGTAGAGGCTGGCATCACAGTAGGGATTGTCTGAATGACCACCTTTGGAGAGGTTGCTGTTGTTGGACTAGTGCTGGTTATTAATGGTGCACCTGCATTGACTGACTGAACTGCCACAGTTGAAATTTTCTGACCCAATGATGTCATTACAACAGGTACTTGCATTGCCACACGAACTGTCCTAGAAGATTAGAAAGAAAAAAGTTGATTATGTTTAATGTTAAATTAGAAAATGGGTCTCCACAGCAAAGGATGAATGCATATCCAAAATATATTAAAACTAGTGCTCTCAAATTTTACAAATGTAAAATGTGTTTTGGCAAATTTGGATCTTTGGCAATCCCTGAAGTTTAGAATGTGAAATACCATAAAGCAAATATATTAAAAAAACTAAAGCCATAATGAGTGAGATGTGCACCCTCTGAGGGATGGTCATACTGGAAACTCAGACTTATGGGGGAAGGGGATGAAAGGGCATTTATTGAAACCTTAAAATCTGTACCCCCATAATATGCCGAAATAAAAAAAAAGAAAAGAAAAAAAAAAACTAAGCCCACATTAAGCTCCATCTATAAAACCATAAAAACCAATTCAGGTTAGTTGAGACATCTACTTTAACAATAAAAAATACACTTAGGCCGGGCGAGGTGGCTCACGCCTGTAATCCTAGCACTCTGGGAGGCCGAGGCGGGCGGATTGCTCGAGGTCAGGAGTTCGAAACCAGCCTGAGCAAGAGAGAGACCCCGTCTCTACTATAAAGAGAAAGAAATTAATTGGCCAACTAATACGTATATAGAAAAAATTAGCTGGGCATGGTGGCACATGCCTGTAGTCCCAGCTACTTGGGAGGCTGAGGCAGGAGGATTGCTTGAGCCCAGAAGTTTGAGGTTGCTGTGAGCTAGGCTGACACCATGGCACTCACACTAGCCTGGGCAACAAAGTGAGACTCTGTCTCAAAAAAAAAAATACACTTAAAATATCAAGCAGTTTTCAAAGTCCTGACAACAGTGGATTTTTAGAACAGACATTTCATTTTTACCAAGTAAATACATTACAACTAATGGTTTGCCTCACATACCTTGGAGCTGCTGTAGCTGATACAGATGTGGTGGTAGTAGGAGACCTCGATGAAGCATCATGACCAGGGGAAGTGATATTCACAACTCTAGCTACACCCTTCTCTGCTCTGGAGCAGTTTATAGGAGATGAGTTTTTGCCACTACGAACAGAGGTTGCTGCTTTTAGGAGACTTTCTGCAGACAGTGACACTCGTTCTAATGATTTTTCATCCGCAGCTGCTGCTAAATCTTCATTACAGGTTTCACTTTTGTCATCATCTATCACCACTATGTTTTTGGGCATATCCTTAAACTGATATACAAGCCTCTGTCCTTCAACCTTTGCAAGAATTCCCCTTTGGTAGTAGTATCTGTAAGGGGAAAAAATACTAAATAAATCAAGTATATATTTGATTTTAAAAAATAAGACCATGTACAGTGGATACTAATAAAAACATTTACTTATTCCTATAAGAGATAAGGGAAAAAAGGACCTCTTACTGCTAAAAAGATTACAGACTTGGAATAGGAATGAAGCTGGAACCTGGTGTCATAGGTCCTATAACCTTGAGATCTGTAAAGTAGCTAAAAGTTCATTCTTAATGGAAATAATTTAACTTAAATACAAAATATTTTACTGACATTGGTAAAAATTCTATTCTGATTTACACAGGTTATAAAAACAATCTGATGTTATATGGAAAAGCTGCCGTAAGCCACACTTAGTAAAGATGATATGGCAATACTGTCACATAAACCATGTGACAACATCTATAATTAGAAGAACATTAAATGACAAAGTTTTGTGGGTTTCTCAAACTGACAAAACTTAACAAATTCTCATATCAAGATTCATTTATTAGGCTGGGCACAGCGGCTCACGCCTATAATCCCAGCACTCTGGAAGGCTGAGGCAGGAGGATCGCTCAAGGTCGGGAGTTCTAGACTAGCCTGAGCAGGAGCGAGACCCCGTCTCTACTAAAAATAGAAAGAAATTAGATGGACAACTAAAAATATATAGAAAAAATTAGTCAGGCATCGTGGCACATGCCTGGAGTCCCAGCAACTCGGGAGGCTGAGGCAGAAGGATTTTGTGACCCCAGGAGTTTGAGGTTGCTGTGAGCTAAATTGACCCCACGGCACTCTAGCCCTGGCAACAGAGTGAGACTCTGTCTCAAAAAAAAAAAAAAAGATTCATTTATTTATAACAAACTTACAGGAACTAAAATGCACACTAACTTTGTAAAGTGTATTTTGTTTAACTTTTTTTAAAAGCCAACAATAGTCCCAAGTACAAAAGCATTTTCTGCAAAAATGGATTTTCCAATGATGTTAAAATTTTAAGCAACTAGACCAAATTCCTCTCTCCCTACCTACTTCCAAAAGCCAAAAACTCCTCTAGAATTTCCCCCACAGTTAAAAGTTGTAAGAGATTTTAAGCTTCTTTTTAAACAGCTAATAAACAATATAAAGTGATATATAAAAGTTCTGTTTGAATACTAGCTCATTTGTGTTTTTACCTCAAAGCTCGTCCCATAGTTTCATAGTTCATGTCTGGCTTATTCTTATGCTTTCCCCAAAGCTTAGAGACAGCCTTTGAATCCACAAGCTTGAAAATGCCTTTTTCTCTCTGAGTCCATTTAATATACCGAGGACAAGTATTTTTATCTTGAAGTAGATCTAAAAGAAACTCCCACAAATAGGTTGTGTTTCCTTTAAAAACAATGGTAGACATTGATTAAAAATTAACATATACCAGCTTCTACAGGTGGTGAAAAAAAAAGAAAAAACAAAATTCATTAATATATAATTAAAACCAAACAAAGTATCCTTCATTGTAACATAAAAATTCTAAATATGCTCTTTTGCTAGTTTTTAAAAAAGAGTATCTTCTATGTATGTTTACAGCTATGATGCTAATATAATAAAGGCCTTGGACTTTGTTCTATCATATACCACCCTATCCCAGATTTTGAATTCTGTAAAGGCAAAAACATATTGCTTGGCATAAAGTTAACCTTAATTTAAGAGATAAAGAGGTTCCCAATAGAAAAAAAATTAATCTGAATTAAACAGAATCAAATTTATTACTTTATATAGATTTAAATTCTGAATAAACTTGCACATAAATTTACTATATAAGCCCAAATTTCATAATAAAAATCCATCAAAAGGCACTTATTAATTTCATTAAATAGGCAAAAAAATATGCAATGAAATGTGCATAACTTTTAGGCATCAGTTGTAGGATCTTTTTTCAGGTAACTTACTTTTCTTTGATTTCTAGGCATAAACTCTGAGATATATATGTCATATATAGTACAAAATATCCTCGACCCTTTAAGCATTCTCTTATCATTTTCCTCTGGACTACTAGTCAATTTAAACTTGCTATCGATGAAAGCTACTGCCTCTAAAAATAGATTTTTAAAAATTTCTAAATCTCTTTCTACTATTATACTCAGTATAGTACAGTAATATTTTAAAAGAATTTCATTATACCTGAACTTGCTTATTGAGACATTTGTGCTTCAGTCTTAAAATATGAGCCCCTTAAATGGAAATACTAAAAAGTAATATGGCAACTCCTTAAATTAGTCGAGTATTCATCAAATGTTAACTACATTAGCTGTGTATTACACTACTAGCAAAATCTGAAAATATTAAAATATTTCTTCCGAATAAAATACTTATTCATCACATACTATGCTTAAGTATAGTAGAGGATACAGAGAAGAATTTAAAACCTGATCCCTGCCTGAAGGAATTCAAAATTTAATTAGTAAGGAAAAAGTAAGCAGATAACAAGTTAAATAATACAAGATATAAATAACAGTTTGAAACAATATAAAATCTGTGACAATGCATGATTATATTCCAAATGAATTGGAAAGGAATATGAAATTATGGAATATGGAAAGTAATCTGTGTGTTATTTCAGGAGTAAAAACAAAGTAGATTGGAAAAATAACCATGAAAAAATAACCATCTAACAAAGTAGATTGGAAGATAGCTAAGCTTTGCATAAAAGAAAAAGAAGGAATCTGAGCAAGTAAAATAAGGGATTTAATCCCACAAGGAAAGAAAGGATCACTTTTCTTTTTCCCTTTGAAAGGGAGGAAGAAAGGTGGGCAATGGTCATGAGAAGACCACGCTTTCAAGCCTATTTTTCTTTTATTCCCTGCATAGCATCTAGGAACAAAGGCTCTTAAACTGATCAAAACAGAAAAGAATCCTGAGAAGGAAAAGATAAGAATATATATGCTACCACTGAGTCACCAGGTCATCTCTAGGCTCCTACTCACTACCATTTTACTATCCTTAAATCCAATCCAAGATACAGGCCACAATGGCAGCGCTTCTAAGAGTGGGAAGCTTCCAAACCAAGCCATTGCTGCTACCCTAACACCTTCAACTGAAACACTCATACTTCTTCCTCTGGCATTTCATTTTCATTTTGGAGTTCCCTCAAGATTCAGTAAATTCATTAATAACCCAGAGTTGACCCAGTATGCATCTTTAGACCTAAAAAGACTGACCTTTAACCTTATAATGTTACATTGCATCTCTGACGTCCTATTCCATCAGCATCCCTATCTAAAAACTATTAAACCATGTATAATCTTCAACTACATCAAAATATGTAGTTGGAGGGGATTTTTATATTATTCATGACCAGAGGACTATCAGGTCCTACAAGTAGACACAGCACAAGTGAGCAGAGATTTTATTCTGGAAGAAATTTTTGTGCAACATAGGCAATGCCCTATACATAGAAGAGATCTGAATATTTCCATATTTGTTGGATTAATTAGACTCGTCAATATTTCTTAGATTTATCTTTAAATACTCACTGCACCCAAGTTCAATCCCCAAATTAAAATTAACAATTCTATTTCTGGTTTCAAGGAAAACAGGATACAGAAAGAGAAGCCTTCATTCATTATCAGGTAAAGCATATGCCTATGACAGACATTATTGTCACAGTTTTGCAGAACAGGAAACACTGGCTGGATTTTAAACCCAGTTTTGACTGTAATAACTTTAATTATTACATTACAACGCACTGCCTCAAGTTTAATAATACAAGATGGAAATTTTAATGAGGTGATTTTGATTGGTAAAAATAGGTCATCACAAACTTTTTCTCCAGTGTTAAGCATGAGGTCTTTGAATATAAGAGATAACCACTAATGATGAGAATTATTTAAAAAACAACTAGTAAGGACTGTGTATTTACAAGATTAGCTCTCTAATACTTACTGCTACTATGTAACTTTTAAAGTTTTCAATATAAATTAAGAGACAAAACCCTAAGATGTTAAAAATGTGAAATGATCAAACACACACAAGGAAATAAGAAAACTATCCTAAATCTGTCCCAAATTGAGTAATCAGTTCATGAATAAATAATTGTTCAATGTTAACTGTATTTTTTTTTGTCTAACTGAACACCAAATTTCTTGGTAGGCTTACTACTTAATTTTTTTTTAAATTAGACTTAACTTTTGCTTTAATTACCTAAAATTATATGTCAGGCCACATGTTAAGGATGGAGTAAATTTTAATATATTAACACAAAATTTACCCAACTTTTAATATTGGTCTGAAAACATTTATTCACGCAAGTGATAAATTTTTAGTTATCAGATTATCAGATAGAAACACATCTAAAACCACTATTGAAATGTTACTTTAAATAATTTTACTCAACAAATTAAGAAAGAACAGAATGAGGGGGGGGCTTTTTGCTGTTGTTATTTTTAATGAAGATATGCAAATTCTAAAACAAAAATATGGTTAAGTTTGTTCTGACTTGTGACTGACATGACTAAAATTTGTTGACTGGAAAATTAAATTCTACTTGCCTTGAATTACCACAGACAGTACTCCCATATATGCATGTACTAGAAATAATTTTCTTATAAATAATGTAATGTAAAATAATGTAAAATTTTTTTACATTACAAATAATGTAAACAATGTCACTTGACTGAAAAAAAAAATCATCTCACCTCCAAAACAGCCCTCCCCAAATTACCTTTTCCTTCTCTGGGTTTCTTCTTGATACCTAACTCAGGAGACCCATTGGAAATTGGTGATTGCTGGGTCTTTGGTTTACGGCCAACTGAAAAAATAAGATATTGAAACCATACATTGAAAACAGGAAAAATAATAGAACATGATTAGCAGACTCTCTGATAACACATTATGCATTAAACTAGACAGTAATATGTAGATTAACATGCTGTGTATGATAAGTTGCTTTTAAAAGGAGCATCAGGCTGGAGAGTGGCTCACACCTGTAATCCTAGCACTTTGGGAGGCTGAACCAGGAGGACTGCTTGAAGCCAAGAGTTCGAGACCAGCCTGGGCAACAAAGCAAGACCCTGTCATTATAAAAAAATAAAAAAATTAGCCAGGGATGGTGGCATGCAGTTGTACTCCTAGTTACTCAGAAGGCTGAGGGAGGAAAACTTCTTGAGTCCAGGTATTCAAGATTAACAGGGAGCTATGACTGAGCTACTGCACCCCAGCCTGGGTGACAGAGTGAAACACTGTCTAAAAGGAGCATTAAGAACATTTCTGCAATTTTAGATACAGCAGTTGGTAGTAATCTCAATGTGTATGGCAAGTCAGGTACTATTAATCTATTATTTACATTGTCAGAGCCTTGATTTACTAAACTTTTCCATTAATGTAGCAATAGAAACAAACCCTACTATAAACTTTTTTATCTTGTTCTACAGAATTGTTACCTACTTATTACAGAGGATCTAATAATCTATCTTTGAAGCACTTTGAGCTCAAATGAGGAAAAGAAAAATATTAAGCACTTTTTACTGCTTTGAGCCAGTTAATTTACTAGAATTTAATTATAAGTGTTCAAATTTCCCCACCACGAATGCAGATACATTGTAGGGGTTAAAAAAAACTTCCAAGTGATTATTTTGTATGTCTAATAAATGTACCCTTCCCGTTTTTTTCTTATTTCTGACATAAGGCACTCTCAGACAGACGAGCATCCACAATGAACAGAAAAGCAAGGACTACACTTTCCTGCACTAAAGAGAGCCTAAGTCTGAAAGGATTATATTCAATCCTTAGTACAGATGGATGAATACTGGCAGGTGAATAAAAACCTCAAGAAAGAGGTTGGGAATATCCAAGTATGCTATATTTTCAGATTAAACAAAATATTACTAATTTGGTTGCTACATCTGGAATTTCTGATGTCACCCTATTCTTAATTAAGGATTATTTAGATTAATTATATAAAGACCTAAGTTAAAGTATCTTAACTTATATTTCAAAATGCATAGATATATTCTAGGATTTCATTCTGCTAATTCTAATTAATAAGATGTCTGTTTTGGCAGAAATTAAAATAGGTCACTGGTCTCCTTGTTAGAATACAGCTTAATTTCTCAATTTAAATAATATTTATATGTATGAAGCCATCAGTAATAAAATTAGCATCTTTACCATCTCCTAAATTCAAGCATAAAAGCCCAAATTAATAAAAAAGTTAGCCCCAAAAGGCTTGATTTATTCTATCTTCATTTTTTAGAGACAGGATCTCACTTTGTCACCCCAGCCAGAGCACAGTGGCATCAAATTCCTGGGTTCAAGCAATCTTCCTGCCTCAGCTGCCCGAGTACCTGGAACTACAGGCACATGCCACCATGCCCAGCTAATTTTTCTATTTTTTGTAGAGAAGGTGCCTTACTCTTGCTCAGGCTGTTCTAAAACTCCTGGCTTCAAGCAATCCTCCTACCTCAGCCTCCCAAAATGCTAGGATTACAGCCATGAGCCACTGTACCTGGTCTTACTTTCTTATAAAGCAGCATTTCCAAAATCGTGTTCCTGGAGAAATTAAAAGGGTATTCCTTAACAGGAAAAAGGGTTCTATAGTGAAATTAACTTGAACATCATATGCTATCTTCTCTTGGAGATTCATAATGCACATGAGTATATTAAAGCTTCTGCTATTAAAAAATAACTTATCTAAGTTTGTATGTCCCAAGTGTACTTAATTAACAACAAAAATATAAATAATGGCACTCTGATTCTTTCTTGTATCTCTTATAGCAATGAGCACAAAATGGTTATAAATAATTTTTAAATAGTCATTAACAGCTTTCAAAGATCTTGTAGACAACATAGGTGCTTTCAAAGAGCTTTCAAAGAGATAAAATTAGTATTAAGTTGCCAAATTATTTCATGGTTTATATAATATCACACCCTGTTTCCCTACATGATCCCTGTTTTTCATGGTCTTTTCTATCTTCTTTTATTTTTATTTTTTTTTTGAGACAGAGTCTCGATTTGTTGCCCAGGCTAGAGTGAGTGCTGTGGCGTTAGCCTAGCTCACAGCAACCTCAAACTCCTGGGCTCAAGCAATCCTTCTGCCTCAGCCTCCAGAGTAGCTGGGACTACAGGCATTCGCCACCATGCCCAGCTAATTTTTTCTATATATATTAGTTGGCCAATTAATTTCTTTCTATGTATAGTAGAGACAGGGTCTCTACTATAACCAGCTCAGGCTGGTTTCTAACTCATGACCTCGAGCAATCCGCCTGCCTCGGCCTCCCAGAGTGCTAGGACTACAGGCATGAGCCACCACGCCCAGCCTATCTCTTTTAAATCTAAAAATTTCTTAAGTGTTTTGTAACAGCTCCTATTGAACAGAACCAACCTAGTGCTATAGTGGAAATGGGAAAATAAGGCCATTTATGTGTATAGCTTTTGTCTTTAAACATTTACAGCAAGAAGTAATTCTTCCTTCTAAATTCTCTCACTCATGCCTCTCTCAAGATATACATAATCTGTTATGTATTATATACAGGAAGGTACGCTGTCTTATTCATTAGTCTCCTTTATAGCAATGAGCACAGAATGGTACACATCACAGCAACATGAAACACTGTATTTAACAAATGAAAGAAAATGTCATTATTTCTAACATACCTTTCCCTTATTTTTGCCTTTTGTGTTTTTGTGGGTTTTTTTACTAACACATAAAGGAAGAGTTAGGTAAGACACTGGAATTAGATAAGTACCCAATTATTTAGGATTTCATTTCTTTCAAATTTTACCTTTAAACAAGAATGGACCCACTTACTACCCCTTTCCTCATGATGTTGGCAGTGTGCTAGAGACTCTAGACTCACTCACTGGGATGATGGAATCACAAATTTCAGCAGGAGTCAAATAATAAGTGGAAATGCTCTTTTCTTTACCCACTGGTGAGTTTATGCCAATTAGAAGTCTTTATTGGCAATATTAGTGTTTTAAAGCAGAAGGTATGGGGAAGAAAACAGTGTTTTTTTTCTTAAAGAGATGGAATCTTACTATATTGCCCAGGCTGACCTCAAACTACTGGGCTCAAGTAATCCTCCTGCTTCAGCCTTCCAAGCAGCAGAGAATACAGGCATGCCCAGCTTTCTCTTGTTTTATAATGTCCACAAAAGAGGTAGAAGATATGATTTTATAAAATAGAGAAAATAAAGACTAAAATGTTTTGTGTGAGGCCAGGCGCGATGGTAATCCTAGCACTCTGGAAGGCCGAAGCGGGAGGATCGCCCAAGGTCAGGAGTTTGAAACCACCCCGAGCAAGAGCGAGACCCTGTCTCTACTAAAAATAGAAAGAAATTAATTGGCCAACTAAAATATATAGAAAAAATTAGCCGGGCATGGTGGTGCATGCCTGTAGTCCCAGCTACTCGGGAAGCTGAGGCAATAGGATCACCTGAGCCAAGGAGTCTGAGGTTGCTGTGAGCTAGGCTGACACCACGGCACTCTAGCTGGGGCAACAGAGTGAGACTGTCTCAAAAAAATAAATAAATAAAATAAAATGTTTTGTGTGTGTGTTTTTTTTATAAGTAACCAAGTACCTATAAAAAGATCAGAAAATAGAAGAAACAGTAAGACAAATGGGCAGGGAATCTCTGATCTGTCTTCTGTGTATACATCATCTGTTAAAATCTTATTTTCAGGCAAGTTCCTTCAGGACTTAAATACTAACTCCTTTAAAAGTATATTAAAAGGCCGGGCGCTGTGGCTCATGCCTGTAATCCTAGCTCTTGGCAGGCCGAGGCGGGCGGATTGCTCAAGGTCAGGAGTTCAAAACCAGCCTGAGCAAGAGTGAGACCCCGTCTCTACTATAAACAGAAAGAAATTAATTGGCCAACTGATATATATATATAAAAAAATTAGCCGGGCATAGTGGCGCATGCCTTAGTCCCAGCTACTCGGGGAGGGGGGGGGGGGGGGGGCCTTTTTTTTTTTTTTCTTTTTGAGGGGGCAGAAAAAAGGATCATCAAGCCAGGGTTTGAGGTTGCTGTGAGCTAGGCTGACGCCATGGCACTCACTCTAGCCTGGGCAACAAAGCGAGACTACGTCTCAAAAAAAAAAAAAAAAAAAAAAGTATATTAAAGCACAAAATTAAAATCTCAGTTCTCTTGAGAACATGTAGCTAACACCAATTGTAAATCTACAGCATACATTATTTTCTATGATCCCTGATGAGGAAAAGATACCAGAAAAAAACTGCATCACCTTCTCAGAAATTTATAAATAAATTCTACCTTTTTTCCTTTTCATTGGTTCATGGCTATCTGGTGATGTAGGAATAGGAGAGGTATCCATTGGTTCGGACTCTTCCGTTGACACCTCCACTACAGTTTCTGTAATGACATCTGGCCTCATAGCAGCATGGATAAATTCTGGAGTTGATATACAAGGAGGGACAAACACTTCCACTATAAAAAAAAGTTGAAAAGTTAAAATTTCCCACCCCCATTAATGTTTCTTATGTGGACAGTTCAATATTTAGAAGAGGTGAAATTTATTAAGAATTATTCAAAGCAGGATAAGAGCTTGATACTGAAGAAGTTCATCTGCTGAATATTTAATATGAGCTAAAGTATATAAGGAAAATAAATGCAAAGAAAATCAACTTGAAGGAAATGTTAATCCTTTGGGTAAGATGAGGATCATGAGTAGTCACTCCCCTTTTTCATATTTTTAGATATTTTCAAGCTCATTGTAGAAAGACTCTGAATTATTTTATTAGTTGGGAACACATTTGAAAGTAATAGCATAATAGTGAGTTTTTTTAATAATTACTTTCCTTCCATGCATCCACCATTATGCTTTGGCTAGGTAATACATGCACATGGTACAAAATTTGAAAGACTATGAGTATTCAGTAACAAGTAAGCACTTAAGCATATGAAGAAAAGGAAAAACCTACTCATTACAGACCAACAAACATCATTGTTCAATATTTAAAGTTTTATTTAATGGAACAGTCCTGATGCTTTAGGTCACTAAAACAGTACATACAGATTGCAATCTGGTATTCTATTACATGCAGTAATATGGCTCTGGCTTCCTTCCAATATGCATGAATAATCAGGATATAACATTTCTATTTCAATTAAGAGATACATACTACCATGGATTAATACATTGACCAAAAATGCCCTAATTTTCTTGTCATATCTCTGAATACTATTTGGGATTCCTATTTCAATTAACAACTACAGTTGCTTTCAGCATATAGTGTAAATCCCTATGAGAAAAAAAGCCAATCTTCCTGTATTGTATCAAGTCAAATTAATATTTGGACATTAAATTAAGGACAAATGAGTATCAGGTTATTAAGTATGAAACATCCGATTTCCTAAGTACTAAGTTTGACAGTTGGTATCTCAGACATCTCACTTTGACACTTCTTGTTTTATTTTTATTGTGAAGGCACATCTTCAGTCTTTCAAACGCATGGCTCGGCTTGCGATTATCTTCCAAAGTTTTTTTAGAGCAATTTTTGTGAAACCATGGATAAGTCAAACATTTGTGTTATTTTCGAATGTGAGTTCCATTGTGGAACCAGTGCAGACAGCTCGAAATATCAATGAAGTGTTTGGGAAGGATGTGGTTAATGACCGCATGGTAAATTGATGGTTTGAGAAGTTCCATTCTGGTGATTTTAATCTTGAAAATGAGCCACATGGGTGACCTGAAATCAAGGTGGATAACGATGAGCTAAAAGCTGTAGTGGAAGCAAATCCATCACAACCTATGTGTGAATTAACAGCAAGGTTTGATGTTACTATTCCAACAATATTGGACCATTTGAAACCAATCATCAAGGGAAAGAAGCTGGATAGATGGGTACTGCATGAATTAAATGAGCATCAGAAGAGAAATTGTCTTGAAACTTGCCTTTCTTTGCTGTCATGACACAAAGGTGAACCATTTTTACACTGTATGATGAAAAATGGATTCTTTTTGACAACTACAAGTATTCAGCACAGTGGTTCAATAAAGATGAAATGACAAAACAATCCAAAACCAAATATTCGTCAAAAAAAAGCTAATGGAGTCTGTTTGGTGGTCCAGCACTGATATATCCACTACAGCTTCATGAAATCTGGTCAACTGATTACAGAGGATGCCTACTGCAACCAATCGGATGAAATGATGAGGATGCTTGTGATTAAGTGGCCGAAACTGGTCAAAAGAGACAAGTCAATCCTCTCGCTAGACAACACTCGACCATATGTCACACAAGCAACCCTGCTCAAACTACAGGTTGGACTTGCAAACTCTCTGTCATCCACTGTATTCACCAAACCTTGCATCAACTGACTACCACTTCTTCCAGGCTTTGGATCACTTTTTACAAGGAAAAATATTCAATTCTCAACAAGATGTGGACAATGCCTTTTGTGATTTCATCCCCAACTTGCTCTCCAGGCTTCTTCGCTGCTGGCATAAACAAGCTACCGTTAAAAGGGCAATACAGTGTTGATAGGTTAGGCGCATACTTTGATTAATTGTACTGCTTCTTTTTGAGATATAATAAATTAAACTTTTGATTCAAAATCGGACATTTCACACTTAATGACCTAATAGTACAAAATTACTGTCAAAGCCAGTCTTAAAAAAGGGGGTGGGGGGCCAAAAGAAAAGGCTGAAGGGAATGTAATGAAAATGGAGTAAGCTCCCTCCTATCTCTAACCATGGATGGTTCCCTGGAGTTACTACTGCCTATTTATCACCGAATAAAGGATCAAGAGTGGTCATAGGCCGCAGCTGCCCCAATCTACCATACCATTAAGGACTACAAAGGCTTATAATTTACCCAGAGTTAAGGAAATAGATATGATAGTATAAATAGCTATTTAATAAACATTTGTTTGTCGAGACTGGACACTTTTTGTCTCATTTATTATGAAATTAAGTATTTAAGATTTAGGAGCCTTGACAAATAAAATTCAATTACTGCTGTCAGGAATTTATGTATAATAGACCTTTGAGAACTTCAGTAATCCCTTTGCATTTAAAAGCAATTTCCTTTTAGATATATGAAGTAGCATAACATGTTTAATATAAAAATGAACAGTTCACATACCAGGACTTCTTGAATCCCTCAAGCAGGTAGGAGATTCCATATGAAGCAGGGCTTCAGCAGCTTCAATTGTCTTATCTGTACAGTGTGCATTACTGCTATGAACTGATGCTTCCACTAGGAGAAAAATAAGCTCTACTCAATTAAAAATGCACTATACCCATTATTAAACTAAACCACATTACTATCCAAGAAATAAATATATTGATTCCTGAAAGGAAAATAAATAAAAATTAACTTCCATCTGAATAACTCCAAATAAGCCATTGAGATGTATTAGTTTACACAAATTATTTACAGAAATAATTTAAAAACTAAAATAAGCTAGTATCTACACTTTATAAAATGAATGTTGATTATAAAGCAACCAATGATGTTGATTGGAAATTACTGAGAAGTTTATGGACCTTATCTAAAGAAAAACAAGGAAAGACCCCTGAAATTTGAACACTGCATCAATTTTAGGCCAAAACTAACTTGGGGGGAGGGGCAGGGAAAGGATGGGTTGTAGATTAACAATCCTGTGTGGTCAATTATGTATTTTTACTTATTGCCACTAAAACCAGTAGCAATACCTAGCAGAATCAGTTAGAAATACATCATATTTCTAAGTTCATTTAATGAATTAGTTCAATTCTTACTCTCCCAGGTGACAATACAGTCGGCCCTCCATATCTACAGGTTCCACATCTATAATCCAACCAACCGAGCATGGAAAATATTTGGAGAGAAAAAAATAAAAAAGAATACAAATAAAATAATACAGTATGACAACTATTTACATAGTATTTACATTGTATTAAGTTTTATAAGTAATTTAGAGATGATCTAAAGCATATGGGAGGATGTGATAGGTTCTATGCAAATACTATATGTAGTATTTATATTTATATATAAATATATAATGTATATTTATATTTATAGTATATTACTTTTTTTTTTTTTTTTTTTTGACAGAGAGTCTCACTTTGGTGCCAGAGAGTGAGTGCCGTGGCGTCAGCCTAGCTCACAGCAACCTCAAACTCCTGGGCTCAAGCAATCCTGCTGCCTCAGCCTCCCGAGTAGCTGGGACTATAGGCATGTGCCACCACGCCCGGCTAATTTTATATATATATATTAGTTGGCCAATTAATTTCTTTCTATTTATAGTAGAGACGGGGTCTTGCTCTTGCTCAGCCTGGTTTCGAACTCCTGACCTCGAGTAATCCGCCCGCCTCGGCCTCCCAGAGTGCTAGGATTACAGGCTTGAGCCACCGCGCCCGGCCGTATATTACATTTTATATAAGGGATTTGGGCATCCCCTGATTCTGGTGTCCATTTTGGGATGGAGGATCCTGGAACCAAATACCCTGGAGTATACCGAGAGACCACTGTACTCTACCTACAGACGGATAACAACATGAATTAGCTTCAGTGCCAGAGTAGTTGGGAACTTTCTTCACATTAACCCTGTTCTTTTCAAAACCTCACTAGGCTTTGTTGGGTTTTAACCAAAAAAAAAAAAAAATGTTTTTAAGTTTTTGTATTTTTTTTCCATTAAGCCTTTTCTACTTCCATCACCCTTTGTATCTCTCTTCTAGCACTTTCTTTATGCTTTGCTGATTAAGTTATTTGTGAAGCAATGTGTGCAGCAATGGTTTGGGCCTTCAGGTCCAACAGCTTGGGTTCCAGTCTCTGCCACTTATTTCTGTTACTCGAGGCAAGCAACTTAATCTCTCTTAAGCCTCAGTTTCCTCTTTCACAAACAGGTATATTACTTATCTTATATAGTTTTAAGAATTAATGAAATGATTTCCATAAAAAACTTAGCACAGTGTCTGACATATAAATAACAACAAGTCAATAAATGGTGATAATTTTTTATCACTTCTGTAAGATTATAAACTCCTTGAGGTCAGGGAGGGCTATCTTAACCCATCTTTGTATATACTATAGTTCCTAATACAGACTTTTCATACAGTAGGCATGCAGGTATTTCTTTTAGATATTGAATTAAGGACAATCCACTGATCTTACAGGAAACTGGCAATTCAAGAACAAATTTATTATCTTAACAATGTATTAATTTCACATCCTGACTTAAAATACTGAATTGTTAACTTAGAAGAGATCCTGAAACATGAATATGTAACAGTTTCTAATTTGATAGATTTTCTCAAGATGTCCCCTAAAGGAACTAAAAGTAAATGTTTATACAAATTTCACAAAGTCATATTACAAATTCATAAGTTCTACACATTAAACATGTAAATATTTTTAAACTATTTCCAGGAAACTTTTAATTGGGAAAAAAATTCAGTTAGTCTCAAAATTCAGCAAATGCTAAATCCTCAGCCTTAAACAACAGTCATCGGGAGAACATTTATTTTAAAAATCCAGGGACTGTTTTACCACCTGTTGCACATCATCCACACTCCCAACCAAGGTACTGGGTCTCTCCAGTTGCTCTTTCCATTTATGGAAATCTGCTCAAAGCTAAATGGTTCCAGAGAGGCAGCCAAACCTCTAAGTAAATCTATCTTTAGGTGACCCTGCTTACTCTTATCTGCAGCTTCACTGAAGCAAAGGATTCAATCAGCCCTTCTATCTCTTGAAGAAACCTGGCATCATGAAATATAAAACGTACTACCATTCTCAAGTCTTTTTTTCAAAATGCATCCCTACAATACTCACATACACTACAAAACCTTGGAAAGCAAATTCTCATGTTTTTAAAATTTGTTCTAGCAACCATTCTCTTTAAAGTCTGCTTGTGTTGCAATTTAGATGTTGTCTTAGGAGCTATTAATAAACCATCCTGGGTAAACTAATTCCTTATGTAATTGTATTAAGACATACCCTAAAAACTCTACCATATGAAAATCAGAACTTCAAATATACAATAATAATACAGCAACAGAATTTTACCAGGTTTTAAAATGCTGTATCTTATAAACAAAATTAAATTTGCCTAATATTTACATATTATGGACCCTGAATTCTTACAGTTGGAAGCACATTTTCAAAACCATGATTTCATGTTATTTTGTCAGTGAAAATTATTTCTGAAAAGATTTTTCTTGTTTATATTTCTGACCTCAACCTCCTCTTCTCCCCTAAATTCAACATAATAAATCCCAGAAAAATATTTCATTTACAGGGTAAAAGAAATAAAGCACATACAAACTTTATATGCAAATTTACTCCTTCACACTTTAAACTTAGGATGAGAATATAAAATATGAATAAATTACCTATGAATTATAAGCCAGATATCTCATACTCTACATACATGCAACAAATGGTTGTCAAGCATTTACCATGTGCCAGGCCCTGTGCTATAAACCTGAGATACAAGTGTGACTAGGTCTCTGGCCTCATGAAGCTTGTTAAACTACTACAGCCTGAGTGACCCTTATCCGAAATGCTTGGGACTAGAAGTGTTTCAGATTTCAGAATTTTTTTTTTTGGATTTTTGGAATATTTGCATCATATACTTACCAGTTGAGCATCCCAAACCCAAAAAGCTCCAATGAGCATATCCTGTGATTGTCATGTTGGCACTCAAAAAGTTTCAGATTTTGAATTTTGGATTTTCGGATTTGGGGGATGCTCAATTTGTAGTTCAAAGAACATGGAAAACATAAGTGGAAGTAAAATATTTCAAAACTAAATAAAAGTATAAAATAAGTTACTATGTAACTTAAAGGCTTATGGGGAAAACTGATTTCTTTCCCTTTTTGATGTTTACTAATTTTACTTCTTGCCGTTTTATTTATTAACTCAATGTTAAACACAAACAAAAATCTAAGAGTCCTTTCTTAGATCAATTTACAATAATGTACTAATGACAGTTTCTAAGAATACTCAACATATTTTGTATCAGTGAGCAGTATCTCAAAATTAAATTTTTAATTTTGTTGACATAAGTCAACAGTAATTTTTGATAACAGAAATTTAAGCTGGTCACAGGTGGCTCAGGACTATAATCCCAGCAACTTCGGAGGCCAAGGTGGGATCACTTGAGCTCAGGAGTCTGAGGCTGCAGTAAGCTACGGTCATGTCACTGTACTCTAGCCTGGGCAGAGTGAGAATTCGTACATCTCAAAAAAAAATAATAATAATAATTAAAAATATTTTTTAAGAAATATTTATCCTACTCAAGTTCTGCTCAAGTTTCTGTAATTTAAAAAAACTTTGCAATACTATTTTGTTCAGATCAATTCAAATAAAATATTAACTAAAATTTTGCACATTTCTTAAGGATAGACATGAATTTAACAGTGTTGTGCAATCAAAGTAAACAAGCTAACTAGCAAGGGTTGAAAAATAAAATTCCTTATCTCTTACTTACAAACCTGACTTACTGTTATCTTTTTAGACTTGTGTATGAAATTTATGGGAGGAAAAATTAAGCAACTCATTTTAAAAATAGAAACAATGAAGCTAAAAGCAATCTGACTGGTATCATTTTCTAGTTACCACTAGTAGTTGATGTTGCTGGTCAATACTCCTTGAAGAAATAAATCCATTAAATTAATTTTAAAAACTATTTTATTTTTAATTATAGCATCAAAAATAAAATCTGCTTATGCCCTCATTTACTATCAGTAAAAATCTTCTTGTTCCATTTCTATCTATCTAAATCAACCAGTGTTTGTATGGTACTGTAGACTATTCCAGACTCACTCAACAGCTGTTACAAAATACCAAACTTGGTAATTAAGTCTGACAAGAGGCATACCTCTCAGCTTTGCATAAGAGAATGCTGGCAATGGATCTAGTTCATAAAAATGTTCTCAAGTCAAAAATAAAATTTAGCAGCAATTTGAGAGCAATGGAAAAAAATCAGAAAACATTTCATTAGGTGACAGTGGATATATCCTCTACAAGCAACACCATAAACTAATATTACAAGGTCTTTACTCAACTATACCTGATTTACCACAGCTTATCCTCTAATGCCCTAGGGCATAACAGTAATAAGTGACTCAAGAATACAAAAGAATGCAATGAAAAAGTGAAAAAGATAAAGGTCTGAGACATTCCATCTTTACTCCCCCCCCTTGATCTTCAATCAATAAAGATGCATTCTAAGGTATAACAAGGAAAAAGAATGAAAATTATTTTCTAAACCA